CCGTAATTCGTGGTGCGCATGTTGAAGGAAAGGATTGGAGTAAAGAACTATACATTTTTCTTTTAAACTATGGGGCAACACCACATGCAACGAGAAGCGTTTCTCCTGCTTTATTACGTCATGACATTCGTACGAAAGTTGCTCAGGCAGTGGCGCAACGCTCATTAGGTAGGGTTATTTAAAAAACTAAGGGCCCGACAGCAACCTCGTTCCCAGGATCTGTCCTTTGGGAGAGACATTGGCTGCGGCTGGTAACGTGCCTCCCAGATTCTGGAAGGTAAATTAAAATTATACTATGGGTAGGGTGGGAGAAGAGCGTGTTTGTCGCGTTTTAAAAATTGCAACTTTGGATGATGAAATTTAAATTTGCCATAAGAAATCGTGAAGAGAACTCTTAATTCTTAAATTAATATTTATATCGTGACTTTCTACTCTATAATCTAGTGTGGAGTTACAATTCAAGCAAGTTGGATCACATTTCAATATTCAACTTATAGACTTGCCAAAGAAAGCAAGCTAGCCGCTTGGGCAGCGTGGCAATAAGCCTACAAGAAAATATATATCTCTAGACCGACCAATGTGGTTGTTATTTATTTAGTATTAAAGTCTATCCTGATACTCGGACCAAAAGAATTTATTTATTGATGAGATGTGGAATTGCAACGAAATAGCGAGATCTTTTGATTTCCGAAATATCGCCAACTGTATCCAGATTTATATAAAGGCCTTATTAAAACCTTAAAGCCCGTCAAAAGACTATAAAATTGGCCCTTGGCATTGCTGAAACCCAACGATCATATGGTATATGTCAAAATATTATGCCTCAAATTCAAATTGTCCAATGAAAAAACAGCATATTTCACTCAAATTCATGATTTTGCAATACAGCGTGAGATACTATAATATCCCACGGCAGATCCACCGTGGGATATTATAGTATCCCACGCTCACGCGTGACGCGTGGACACCACGCTCTGAATATGGCGATATGGCGTTCGCGAGCTGTTGTTTCTAATTTCGTATTTTCATACAGAAGATTTGATTTAACAAAGGATTTTCAAGACTTATGTTACCTTTAAAGATCCGAAGGATACTTACTCAAATATTTTAAAGAGGAAACGTCAAAAACTCAGGTATACATAAGAAATTAAAAATTGTATTCGCGTAGTTAATATTCAGCAAGTTTTAAAGTTTATTCTGAACTTAGTGAGTTCTTTAACTTTCGGTATAATATATCATTTATAGACCCGGAGCGAAAGCCCCTCGGAAAATATCATCACTTCGGGAAATATTACGCCGAATCCCCCTCGCTGCGGGTCTATAAATGATAATTAGTTGACCTTTATATAGTTTTTTTTAAGCTTTCCAATAATGTAGGTTACATTTGCCTAAAAATGATTTCAAAATTTGAACATTCTGTCCACAATGGTTTTCTACGAGGGGCATTTCACTCCAAAAATCCCATACACCTCGTGAAAAAATACGGAAAAATCTGAACAAATCCGAAAAATCCAACAGATTTTCTCTTCAAAAATCCGCTAAAAATCCGGGAAAAATGCTAAATCCGCTAAAAAATCCGCGGATTTTTAAAAATCCGAAAATCCCGTACGCTTCGTCAAAAAATCCGGAAAAAATCCGAACAAATCCGGAAAATCCAACAGATTTTCTCTTCACTGAATCCGCTAAAAAATCCGGGAAAAATCCGCTAAAAATCCGCGGATTTCCAAAAATCCGAAAATCCCGTACGCTTTTTAGGGATTTTTAGTATGTTAATCAGGACACCTTCTCTCACATTTTACCACTGAGAAAAATTCTATTGGAATTTCTTTGACCTCTGGTCACAGATTGACTGGACTAAGAGATAAACAAATGATTCACAATAAAAAAACTTTAAAAATGTTAGTAGAAAACCTCGAAAATTTATGTCTATTTGTATGACAGTCTGTGTGCATCTGACACTGTAAATTTGTGATATAGACTAGAAATACATGCATGCAGTAAGCCCTCGCCAATATTTTCCAGACATTAAATTAACATGAAGTATTCAGAAATGGCCCACTGAACCATATATTATACATCATACCAGATGTCTCACTCAGCCAAAATTGTGTCCGCGATTTTTTATGAGCACGCGTTGGCCGCCATTTTGACAGTAAGTGTAATCCACGCCATTAAACGTGAGCAATCACGCATTTTGGTAGTAAGCGCCATTTTGGCAGTATGTGTCGCACGCGTCATCTGATGATGATGATAAAACTTTATTTAACCACGCTAACATTGTCAGCTAAAGCTGGTTTCCACAATGGGCGTGTGAACAAAAGTAAATTTACAAGAAAAAAAAAGATTAAGGTAGTAAGAAATTACATGCATATATGTGAAAAAGAAAATATACTATATAATATACGTTAATTTACTATTTACATTCATGCTTTAATAAGAATGGGTAGCGATTTTCCTTTCGAAAATTGATAGCGTTTTGCTTTCTCTAATAATTTCTGGCAAAGAGTTCCATATGACAGCTCCGTCATACATGAAACTCTTTTTTAAACTGTTCGAACGTGGCTTTGGCAACCGTAATGTGGTCGAGCTGTCACGTAGATTATGATTCAATATTTCATTTTTTTTGAAAATGAATAAGTCTTTGAGGCAATTTGGCCCCATACTATGAAGTATCTTAAACATTGTTTTCGCTTTAGTTTTTAATCGTTGTTCTTTTAATGTTTTCCATCCTAATAAATCCAATACAGTTTGCTGATCAACATCGTTCGGTACACTTGCTATGATGCGAGCTGCTCTGTTTTGAAGCTTTTGCAGACGTTTAGATTGGGTTTCGCCAAATACATCCCATACTTCACAACAATAACTGAAATAGGGTTGGATCAAAGCATTGTATACCGATATGAGTGTTTTTATATCAACAAACGTTTTAATTTGTTTGAGAGCATATATCCCAGATGATATTTTACTACATATACTCTCAGTGTTTCTTTTCCAAGAAAGATTTTCGTCAACAGTAACTCCTAAAGTCTTGCATTGGAAAACTTGCTTTATTGGTTTATTTCGAATAGTAACTGCTGGCTGGTAATCACTATTTTTTTTAAGCATATGTTTAGTGCCAATTAATTGAAATTCAGTTTTCGCTACGTTTAAGCTCAGTTTATTTGCCATAAGCCACTTTCGAAGTCTTTCTAAATCCGAATTTACTGCAGATTCAATATCATTCATGCAATTTCCGGATGCTGTAATATTTGTGTCGTCTGCAAACATCCGGGGTCTAGTTTCATTTAGACAAGATGGTAGATCGTTAATATATAGCAGAAAGAATAATGGTCCTAATATGGAGCCTTGGGGTACGCCACATTTTACAATATTTACTTTAGAAGTAGAGCCGTTTATTTCACATTTTTGGGTACGATTGGATAAATATGATTTTAGGAGTTGAAATGCACTGCCCGTAATTCCAAATAGTAATAGCTTTTCCAATAGGATGTCGTGGTTAACAGTGTCGAATGCTTTTTTAAAGTCTATGAATACAACCAAATTAAACAATTTTCGATCCATGTTTAAATACCAATCATTTGTACAGTCAAGTAAGGCTGACGCAGTCGAGTGAAACTTTTGGAAACCAAACTGATGTTCTGAGAGGAGGTTGTTTAGCGACAAATACTCATATAGTTGGTTATATAAAATACGTTCCATAACTTTGCTTATGGCAGGCAAGACAGAGATTGGACGATAATTTCCAGCCAAATTACGCTTGCCATTCTTAAAAAGGGGGATTATTCTTGCAACTTTCCATTCATTTGGAAATGTAGATAGAATAATTGATTGGTTAAAAATATAGGTTAATGAATCGGAAATAATTGGGGCTGCTATTTTGACAACCTTTCTAGAAATTTTATCTAAACCAGTAGCTTTGTTGCCAGCTAGTTGAGATAACAAAAAACAAACATGGTTTGTAGTAATTGGTTTGAATGCAGTAAATTCAGATTCAGCTTTCTTAAGGTAGTCCTTAAAATGACATAGTTTAGTTTTAGTTAGTTAGTTTTCACCAAAACTCATTATAGCTTCTAGTAATGTTCTGCTTATTTTCAAGCGACCAATCTGAAACATATTAATTATCTTTTACTTGCGTTAGGAGAAATTGAAATTTCATCAGGAAGAAAGAAACATGTATTTTGATAAAATTGTCCATTATAAAAAGTTTTTTTATGATTTGGCTTGCTCATTTGAGTTACTAACACTCTCACTCAATGAGTGGAGGTTCAATCTGCATGAGCTTCCCTTTAGTGTCAATGCTATTTTTGAATAGCTGGACGGTGAGTAGTCACATAGTACGGTACCGCACTAACCCTCCATGCGTTATTCAAAAACAACATTGACACTCAAAGGAAGCTCAGATTGAGCCTCCACTCATTGAGTGTGAGCTTTTAGAATACAGGTGTTAGTGTTACAAAAAGCAGATACTTTCATGAGTATTATAGTAATATAAACAAGTAAAATTGAGACAAAATTAACAAAACTGAAATAAATGTTGTGCTTGAAATAAAAAAAAGTCTCATCCATAACACTTCTTTTTGTTATGTGTCAATACACCTTGATGTAATATTTCAAATCCGAGTTGGTGTTTTAGATGTGGTTTCTGAATCCAAGTGGCACAAACAATGGCGAGGCGTAGCCGAGCCATTGCTCGTGGCACTTTGGATTTGGATTTGGAAGCCAAGTCTAAAACACCAACGAGGATTTGAATTGGCTTATCACACATCATTAGATATACATAGCATTGAGGAAGTAACAATATAGGGAAATGAGTGGTTCAGTAAAGTGAATGCATAACGAAGGAACGAATTAAAGGCGTTGTTGTTCAGACAGCTGTTAGTATTGTTCGCCTTCGCAGGAAGCATGACCCACACCTTTCATAACCAGCTGACGTGTTTCATCCCACCCACCCTGCTTCTATGCCAAATAATGATCATGAAGCTTCTGGTCTTGTCAAACAGCGATGTGGAGAATAAAGTGAACATTCTCCTAGCAAGGAAGTTATTTTCACCAAAACTCATTCAGACCACAAATTTCTTGAAACTCAGTTGTACCATCTGGCCATGGTGATGACAAATATCACAAACGGCAGGATGAAGAAGATAGAAAGGCAATCTCTTAACTTTAACAGCAACTTTAATTAAAATATTTTCCTACTTGAAAATAATTAAATTCGTGCTTGTACAAACAACGCAATTTCAGGAGGTCATCAAAAATTCCGTGTGAAAATATTTTCAACTACAGTTGGGATGTCTAGCTATCATGGCAAATATCATGAAAGCCAGCATGCGAAGAATAGGAAAGGAAGAACAGCTTACTGTATTCCAAAAATAAAAAAATACAAAAATCTAAAAATACAAAAATCTAAAAATACAAAAACTGTTTTTATGCTGTCGCGTCTGGGCTGACGTGCATAAAAAATGACTGAAAATTGCAAATTTTGCAAGATTATATTATCCGCATTTTACAACATTTCGCAACGAAACTTTGGAATATTACTAATTTTGTGATGCTCTTTCATGCTGTGATGGAATCTTGTCTAGACTTGTTGAGATAAAAATTTTGGTTAATATGGGATTGGTCCATTAAAGCCTGGTTCACTAGCAATTTTGTCAGCGATTTTGTGTTTCTAACGGATGGAATTGAGTGAAGTCGCACACAAAAGTATAGAGAGTCGCTTTTCTGAAGTAAACAATTCTAAGTCTTTTGCATGTCATCCATTTGATCACATTTGCCAAGACATCGCCGACAGAATTGCTAGTGTGAACCAGGCTTAATCAAGAATTATATTATAAAAAATTACCCGAAGTGTTTCCCATATCTTTCCTTGCAAGTAGTGCAGTGCAACCAGTTTGACTTTCCTCTATGACCATCTTTTCTAAATCAACTTCATACGTGCTTTCCGTTCCTGGGATTGTAATTATTTTGTTTCCGACTCTGGACTCATTCTCAACCATTCCATTCAGGATTTCATCAAACAGGATGGTGGAATTTACATCCGAATACGACCATTGCACGTTTTCCGAGATTTCGCGTAATATTTTCAATTTCCTTTCCTTCTCATCGTTCTTGTTCAAAAAGTCAATCAACACTTCTTTACATTCGAAGACTTGTTCCGTCATTCCTTCGATAGAAACTTCATCGGCTGATAATGTGATGAAAATGTCATAACCCTTTGATAGTTTTTTAATTTCAGTATTATGCTTCCAAAATCCGTTCACTATCTTCTCGTCTTTTACGGACTTGTTCACTTTGCATCGGTTGAAATACGCTTCTATTTTTTCAATGGACACGTCAACGTTATCGCGGAAACCAACAACTCGAAAAATAACTTTTTCTTTCCCGCCAATGTTCACGATTTTGTCAACTGGAAGCTGATGTTTCATTGCCACGTCTTCCAAACTAGCTGGCATATCATTGTCATGGAATCTCACGCTCTTTCGTTGTTCCTTTGCTTTTTCGTCTAGAGCTGTTTTGAAAATTTGCATCGTATCCTTATCAAACCCAACCACTGTAACATCTATTATAAAATTTGCATTGGAAAATGTTTTAGATGCATTTAGTATGGCATTGGCGCATTCGTTGGGAGCCACGCTGAGCGACGTTATTCCAGTGGCCGATATTACAACGCTATTTAATGGAAAATATTGCGCAGCGTCCAAGCAAGCTTTCATCGCGCGCTCCAACCCAGAAATGTCAAACGAAACAGGAACGCAGTGCATGATGTATCTTACATTCGCGCAGCTACTAGCATTTGTCACCAGCACAGTGCCGGGTGGTGGTGTCATTGATTCTTCACGCGCTGAATCAATGAAATCAATTTCATCATCACTTTGTCGGATACTTGTTGACGGAAAGTTTGTGGCGGACACTTTTATATGTGTTGCAGAAAAGTTAAGGAAGGCATCGGCTTGATATTGTGTTATGCTGCCACCACGCAGGTAAATGTGGACCGGTCCAAAGGCGATCTCAGCAGAACTGGTTTCAGAGTTTCGTTCGTTTTGATCTATCGTGGATGGTGTTGAAATTCCTGGTCTGACTGGTACTGATTGTCTTCTCTCGGCTTTAGATTGAAACACAATTACGCGAATATCTTTGAGGGTTAGCTGGGCTCCTTTGCTGCTGCTAAATTGGTTTATTTCATTCCTGAACACTTTCAAAATAACTTCCACGGGAAACCCATGCTGACCTGCGCCAATCATTGGCATTGCAAGCGAAGATGCGCCCAACTCGTGGCATTTCTCAAGAAGTTTTCGCACTAACCTTCGTAAGAACTAAAAAAGAAAAATTGACCGTTGTTTATGGAACACGTTTATTTAGAGAAGGATGAGACGGTGTTTGCTCAAATTAATTTGGCTGGTAAGCATCATACTGCTCTTTTGAAAGTTTGTCAAAATAAAGACTGCGCCGATTATACAATAAGCAGATTTTGACGTTTTAATTAGATGCTGCATCAGATTCTAGCCTGGCAGCCTGCGAATCGTTGGGAAACAGCAAGAAATAAAAAAGGAAATATTCCTTATTCATATCGCAACTCCCCAGCCTTACCTTCGCGACAGGAACTTTGCATGATTGTTTAAAGCTACGTTTATATTATATCGCATATCGGCCTTTTTCATATTACTAGAACATAATTTAGAAATATTTGACGTGCTTGTCATTGACAGTATAGGATCACGTTATCGGTTGTGTGTGGGCGGTTTCTGGGAAAATACAAAAACTAAGGTTCAGTTATTGTAATGAAACATTGTGTATATTGCTTACTTTGCTTAAAGTCAAAATTACTTTGATTAGCTATTAACAGATCGTATACAATGGGCGGTGAAGCGGAGTCGTGTGCCCTGAAGTATGTGTGATGCATGGGCACCTCAAATATTGGAGCACATGCGAGCAACTACTAAATGTGTCTTATAATATAACATATATAGTTGTTTGACTACTTTTTAGTGAAAATGACGAGCAAAGGGCAGGGCAAGTGAACTTTCTGCTGAAGTAAAAAGAACTAGTAAATTAATCGACATATAAAGTGGCTATAAAACTCTCCTTGAGTTATTATAAATTATGAACTTTTCCTGTGTATCTATAGCTGACACTTGCGGTAGTTTTGGAAGAACTCGTACTCGCCATTCCGGCCGGTTCGACTTCCAGAGATTATTTCTCGTTCTCTCAAACTTCAACGCATGTTTCTATAACTGTATAGAAACATTGAAATTACGTTCATATGCATTAACTTTCATATGCCAGCACAAGGACCGGGGTTTTCCTGGGACTCGATAATGTGGCGAGTAATTTTCCTTTGCGTCGTATTTGTTCGTCGTAGTATTTAATAAGTGTCAATATTTATACCAATGAAAGAACTATTAATGGAGTAACCGCGTCCTTGGATTTGCTAATCAAGTTCTGGTGACAGTGCAATGCATTAAAACAATATACAAATCGAAAGCCGGTTGGCCAACTTTGAAAACAGACGTGATGAAGAATTCTAAAACTTTCATGCTTAACTGATAATTTACATTTTCTCATTATATTTTGGGTTATGGTCCAGGGATGGTCATCAGGAACAAGTATTATTCTGTCCATTAGAAATATAAATGAAATAAAAGTACCCACAAAACGCTTAAGTATCTTTTGAATTCGTACATTTTAAAGCCGTTCAAGGCACGGCAAAATTTTGGGTACGGCAAATTTTGGCACGGCACGTTTATATTTCATTTCTTTCCGCGCCGTGCCAAAAATCTTTGTCCGTGCCGAGCACGGTAAAGTCTTAGACTGCGCACGCTCAGTCAGAAGCAATATAGCGGCGCAAATTGACAGGATGGTAATTCTATATTATACTCGAAAAATTAACAAAAAAAAGAATTTGGAGAAAACCGAGAAATAAAATGTTAGAGATGTAAGAAAAACCACAGAAATATGATCAGAAAAATTGAAAGCCAATATACGAAAAGGAGACTGCAATTAATTGCCTTCTGAGTCTTGTTTTGAACGTACCAAATGAACAAACATTATGGATGCATCCTCATACAGATGCATAGTTTCTTTCAGCAGACAAGTTTCGTACCGATGTACAATGGTACGAAAACTTTAGAGTTACATAACAAACGTTTGATTTTGTTGTTAATGTAATCGAGAATGATGTCAAGCTTTTTCCCGAAGACTACCACGTGAATGTTGGTGGAAATTTATTGTCCTGTTATTCTTGGAGACCCTACTTATCCCTTACTACCTTGGCTCATAACACCATGCTCAGAGAACCCGAATACAATCCGAGAGCGTAGAAGGTTTAATTATCGCTTGAGTAAGGCTATGTTTACAGTAGAGAATGCATTTGACAGATGGAAGGGGAGATTTCGTAGATTCCTTAAGAGAGTGGACAACTGGACATGGATAATAAATTAAAAGTTATAACTTGATTATTGTTACTGCTGCATCATGCTTTTTACACTACATATGTGAAATGAATAATGAAGAGATCCTGCTACATTGGTTGGAGGAATCAAGTCAACCAACAGCTACCTTTCCTCAACCAGATCCATTAGACAACACTCATGCTCAAGATATTCTGTTTCAATTAGAGACCATTTTGCTAATTACTTCATGTCAGCTGTGGGACATGACCCTGGATCAGGGTGGTTAATGTACTAACTTAAAAGACAAAAAAGCTTTTAGTTTTGCAGAGTTACGTTCTCAAACATTATACCTCAAATTCAAATTGTCCAATCAGGAAGCTTAGTTTATGCCACGTGAGCATGAAATTAATCGCGATGACACGCCTTACGTCATCAATTAGCGAGCCTGCGTTCCTTTTGACACTGTTCCACCCCATGTTCCCCGTGGTCCGGGTAGACCACGCGAGACAACACGCGTGACAACACGCGTGACAACACGCGTGACAACACGCGTGACAACACGCGTGACAACACGCGTGACAACACGCGTGACAACACGCGTGACAACACGCGTGACAACACGCGTGACAACACGCGTGACAACACGAGTGACAACACGCGTGACAACACGCGTGACAACACGCGTGACAACACGCGTGACAACAACATGGCCGACAAAATATAAATAGTATTGATGAGTGATGAATATTCAAATAAACCTGGGGCTTTTTCATAATTTTGAAGCAAATTTTGAAAAATGTTGTCATTAATATTCCAAACGATATGTGATTCGAAAGAAAAGCGACGAATACGTCTTGCGTTAATCCGAAAATAAAACATCGTATTCACTATTCACGAAGGTATCATAGGCATGTGTCAAGTTTGTAATTCTCAACTTGGAGGCTTTTAATTTTCGGTATAATATATCATTAAATTTTATAGACCCTCGGCTCGGGGGATTCGGCGAAATATTACCCACAGTGATGAAATTTCCCTCGGGGCAAAGCCCCTCGGGAAATATCATCACTTCGGGTAATATTTCGGCGAATCCCCCTCGCCCCAGGTCTATAAATGATAAATGTTAAAGGCACTAATAAAATCAAAGTATCATTAAATTATTTGAATAAACCACACCACCTATATATTATGCAATTTTTTTTGCGGAAGTCAAGAATCAAGATTACATCACTGACACTGACACTGACATGGAAAGTTGACGACTCAATTGATAATTAATACGCTTCGCAACACATTCCATAGATTTTTTATTAATCCTATAGTTTATCAAGTGATTACTGTGGCGGCAACACAGCCATGCAAGACAACAGCTACAGTTTAACGACTTCACAATCGCGACATTATGTGAATGTGAACTGCCAGGAGAATACGACAACATCGTTTTGTTTTTAGATCAAAAATTCAAAATTTATATGGGGAGGGGGGGGCGAATTTCCTAAAGGACGGCGATATTCCTAAGATATTCGAACCCGGGGGGGAGATATTCCTACCATATTCGCCCCCCGGGGCGATAGAATATCGCCCCCCTTTTGAGAGGTGGGGGGCGAATCTCCTGGGAGGCGAAAATCCTGTGACACCGGCCGGAACTGGAACTCGAAAAAATCGGGGTTCCGGTGCACCCCTAAAATGCAACCAAGTCCTTCACTTTGTGTGCATGCCTTTATGAACAATAGACAAATACCCTTATATAGAGTCTCCTACACCTAGTGTAAATGTTGATATCATCATCACATTTGTTCTATGAACCATGCAGTCTGTTGTGGACTGTTCATTAAGTCAATTTCTATAAGTGTGCTTTAGCATAGTTGATTTTATTGATATTGTAGCATCAATTATGTATTTCATGTTTCGCTCGCTTGGAAACGTTTCGTCGATGATGTCATCTCTGCGGTTTCTACAAATGAGATCGATATTCTGCTGCAACATTTAAATTATATTGAGCCGTCCATCCAGAACGTGAGATAAATGGACATGAGATAAATGGACATGAACGTGAGATAAATGGACATTTAGCTTTTTTAGATTTGAATGTGCACAGAACTGTCAAAGGGAAGTTAGAGACTGATGTTCATCGCAAACCCACACACACGCACAGACAAATACTTGTCATACGACTCTTATCACCCAGTAAGCCACAAAAGATCCGTAGCAAAAACTTTGCTTCAAAGAGCTGAATCGTTGCCGTCAAACAGTGATTCTCAAGCTAATGAACGTGAATATGTTCTAAATGTTTTAGGGCAAAACAATTACCCAAAACATTTTCTTAATGATTGCCTGAGACCACCTGTTTGTAGGAACCAAAATAACTCCGAGGGTGATACCTCTGTTAAGGGTTTTGCAATAGTTCCATACATTCAAGGTGTCACAGAACCAATCAAGAGAATCTTAAATTAAGTAATTGTAATATTAAGGTTGCCTTAAAACCCTTTTGACTTTAGACCTTATTTTCGCAAAGCCAAAAGATCCTGTTGAAACAATTCAGAAGACTCATGCTGTTATATTCTATACCATGCGGTGACTGCGAGAAAGAGTATTTGGGTCAGTCTAAACGCCAGTTTGGTACACGGCTAAAAGAACATCAAAAGGCTGTTTCAACTTTAGACAAGGGAAAATCAGCTTTAGCCGAACATGTATGTTACACCAAACACGAGAATGCGTGGGAAAACTCTAAAGTAATTACCACATGTACAAACAATCGTTATGGTCAAAGACTTTGCCTAAAAGCGTGGCATATAAATATGAGTCATCATGCTTTGAATAGGGATGATGGTGCCTATTTGGCAGTATTTGCCAGAGGAATATATGCATCTTCTTGGCAGGTGACGTCATCTCTTGGGTATTTAAGAAGCCACGATCGCTGTTTTAGATCACTCCTGATAAAGACACTAGACTGGAGTGTCGAAACGTTGGGTCTTGATTACAATTCGACTGGGCTTTGTAATAATTTATTTAAACCAGAGTAGCGAGCGAAACATGATTGATATACCTGGTTGCAATGAACGAACAACCTTTATAATTATGTATTTGTTTATGTAGTTTTGTTTGTGTTTATTGTGTTACAAAACGCACACATTAATGTGTATCAGAAATACAATTTATAATATTATTGAAAAATCAAACAGGAAATAAGTATGCATTAAATTTATAACTCATCATCAATGCCAAAGTGATATTATCCTTTTCTATGTCAAATGATCTGGGGCCGGTTGTATCAAAGGCGTTTAACTTAAACGGTGGATAAGTCAAAATTAAATAACACTCTTATGTCTTTCGTGAATCAGTCAACTTAAATATTCTGCACTGAATATATAGTTGTAAACATTATCGTTCCATTAAGGTTCAAAACTTTTAGTTTGGTTGTTTAATGAATCTATAGACTTGCTTTCTATTTTGAGCTTAACCACCGTTTAAGCTAAACGGGCTTGATACAACCGGCCCCTGGTGTTAGACAGTGAGAGTAAAATAATCCTTTGAAAGTTGAACAAGTTCATGCTATTGTATATTTATTCAGTTCAACTTTGATCAAGAACACAAACATAAAATGAAAAACCCTCAACAGCTCAACATCTTGATCTATTAAACAATACAGTTATTGATTCCTTCCATCAGTCAACCACATTTCATAAGAACATAGCTTACGAGCATCTGCATTTATCTCAGTAATACCATAGTTGCCTCGAAATCCTTTGTCTCGCGAGGTACGATTAATCACTAATTTACCTCATTACTAAAACATGGCGTTAAATTAGAACTAATTTTACCACGGGCAAAATTAGAACAAATTTTGCCCGTGGTAAAATTAGTTCTAATTTTCCCCTGCATGCTTGATGAGGGAAATTTAGAAGACAAAAGCGTACCACCTCATTACCTCTGATTGGAGAGCTGAACCTCATCGAAAATCATCGGCACAACTATGGACAGTACCTGACGACACCGTCCCGTACACATTCGAACAATCACTTTGCCAGCTTTTATTCGCCCTGAATGCCATGCTATTACTTATAATTGTACAATAGAAAATTCCAGCTATCGACTAGTAATTTTTATCTAAACAAGACAGACGAAATATGTCATTATAGCTCAAAAGAGCATCCTAAAATTAGTAAAATTGCAAAGTTTGGCTGTGAAACTAGCAAAATTTTGAGTATTTTAGTATCATGATGCGCGGTAAGAATAACCACTTTTGGCTCAAAAATGGTTATTTTTACGGCGCGTAATACTAAAACACTCAAAATTTGCTAATTTCACAGAGCTATATTTTCCGTAATTCACAACATTTAGGATGTTCGTTTGAGCTGTAATGATATATTTCGTCTTTCTTGTCCAGATAAAAATTAGTAGATAGCTGGAATTATCTATTGAGCCCATTTCATGTCATAAATATTTGCGATATCGACCAATAGTATGAGCGATTTCAATTAATAAACAGAACGGTAGCCTCCGACCAGGTTGTTCTTGATAATTGATAACCCATCCCCGGGGAAGATACAACAGATTCGATTACATAATAAGTTCTTTGTATGATTGCATGGCGTAAAACATATAATAGTTTGCAGTACGTAATAAATTTACGTGGTGTTTCCACAAACAAAACTATTATAGATTGCATAATGCTCTGCAGCCTTTGCCAGGGTTCTCTTCAGCTCGCGGCCATTACAAAGAGAACCCTGGGTAAGAGGTTGGTGTTTTACACGCTTTTCTCGTTTTCTCCAAACATTTTCCTCGCGCATTATCACACCATAAACGTTTTCTATTTCTTAAATAAGGCCCGTTTCATACGCCGTACTTCACATGTGCCGAATACATTAAAAACAATAGGTAATGAGGCATTTCAGCTCATTATCTATTGTCTTTAATGTATTCGGCACATGTGAAGTACGGCGTATGAAATGGGCCTAACAGTCCTAAGTGTAGGATGTCGACCCGCCTTTAAGACTGGACAATACCCGCGTACCGGCTAGAACCGGTTTGAACCGGTTAGTATATCGTGGTTATATGTCTTTTATATTGTTAGTTTTAGATTTCTATAATTGTTGTTTATATTAAATTAAGAGCTTACGAAGGAAAACAGTCAAGCACAATTGTATTTTCTTTAGTTTGTTTGTAGCAGTATTTGCATGTGTAATTTGTTTGTTTACGGTATTTGTAAATGCAAATTTAATTTTCGCGTAGAAACCACATACACGCATGTCATTGATGTAGGTTTATTGAAATCGTGCGTCTCACTGCATTTTCGTATAATTAAGTAACCGTCCAATAGGGATAGCTGAGATGCCAAATTTCGGTAAATTAAACCCCAAAGCTAAGGTTTTCATTTATGCAGAAACAAACAATCACTTCAATATTCACAGACCTTGCTAATAGTAAGGTATGTGACACAGGCTACTAAATGCGCAGCCTATATCGGTTTAAAAACCAAATAAATTTCATTATTTCATACCTCGTGTGCAGTTGAAGCCTCATTGAATTGACTCAAGTTGCAACATACAGCATGGATAACATACTTTGACAAAAGGTTGCCACTTTCAGTTGCTACAATGTCTCCTGGTTGTACAGCTGTGTGAGGTTTACATGCTTCTTGGAAACACGATCCACCGCGAACCAATAAAGCTCGACCACATGCAGTGGGATGATTAAGGTTCGAATGAGCAGAGTTTACCAACACATCAGCCTTCAAGCAAAATGGAAGAATGTTTTAAGATTTTAGAATTTTGTTGACTCGGCAATTCCAATTTTTAATTTATACTCGCCGGGAGTGACGGTAAGTAAAGGTATCATATTATTGATTATGCTGAAAATTTTCAATAAAACTGCCGACACAACCGAAATATTTCAATATTTACAAGTATAAGCTATCACTCCGTGTTTATACATGGCCACCATTCTTATTTTTTTCAGCATAATTAGCAATATGATACCTTATTTCCCATCCCCCCTCCTGCACACATAAACTAAAAGCTGGAATTGCCTATTCAAATGAGTATTCCCAAAATGTTTCACCGACATGAGAATAACATTAATCTTGATAACAGAATCGGGATAAAGTGGAGAAAAAGTTGTAGCTAGAACTCTGTTAAGGTAATTCCGCAGTTTTGCATTGCGCACTTTTACAGCGCACATCTTATAACTTATAATTTCATCCATTATACGTACCGTTTAAAAAACATTATTTTAATGACAATTTTATGTTACTTCAAAACATTTTTGGTTACATTCGTGCAAAGAATTACGTTAAAATCAATGTTTTCAAAAAAGGCATACAAAAGTGTAGCTAGGGTTCCTGTGTCTGTAGTATATTTATTACTCGTATTTCACGTTTTAATGACACAATTTATTTCTTTAATGCATTTTACATTTCATATCCGAAATTTAAAAGAAAAATCATTTCCAGATCTTGAAAAAAATGCTTTATCAATGCATGTTCTCAAAGAAAGATATGTAAAGAAATGTGTTTTACACGTTAGTAGTTTCATTTTGCTCAAAACACAATATTTCTTCAAAAATAATTATCAGATAGGTTTACTAAAGTAAAATCCGCGCTAAAAACGTCAATAAATATCGGGCCGTTGTGAGTTTGCTGTTACTCGTAATGAGCGTCAAGATGGCGCCGCCATATTGGAATAAAGATGGTATATTGTCATTGTCATATCTTCTGAACGAGTTCGGTGACCCCGACATTTTTGTGTGATTTCACTTTAAGTATATAATAAACTCCATGCCTGCAGAATGGTCATGTATTTACTTGAAAATAATGACCGATGAATTTTAGAATATGAAAAAAGAGCACGCAGAATTGAGCATTAGGCGCGCAATGTAGTATATGACAACTATCATTGTCGCAAATTGTCGTGGACGAAAATAAACTTTAAATATTTACATAATTACATTATCTTTTTGTTTTAGAATTAACACGCGTTTGAAAACAACATTGGTGTCAAATATTATGTAAGCGTATTCTATGGCTTTTTCAAACTGATAATTTCAAAGTGATTTTAGGATTGAGCGATCTATATGTGTGAGTCTTGTATGTAATTAGTTGCGCGTACATGCCAAGAAAATAGAATGCATGTACTAGTAGTTGAAAACCTGTAATTGTTTTTGTTTTTAATTTCTTTATCTGTAACTGCACTGATACACTAATAATTATTCGAAATGAGATATAAGCATATATAAAAAGCACCATCTAAATTGACATGGTGAGGAAATAAAGCACGAATATTATCCTTTCATATACGAAGGTAGTCTACAAATGATGAGAAACGATAAAATCCAAGTTTTAACCTATGCAAATTATTTGAATGCAGAACATTTGTGCGAAGATTGACATTCTATATAGCTTAATTAAACAAAACAAATTGAGAACTGCACTTAAAAGTTAAAACTGTTTATATCTTCAGCGGCGTTGTATTCGGATTTCTTTGCCATGAAAACCAGTGCATGTAGGCGATATCTTACAATTGAAAACTCCGTTTTTAAACTTTATTTACTCTAAATGCTTGTTAACCGGATTTCAATACACCGAAACATATTTTTTTTACGTATCCCACTTGCCGAACTCATTTGGCATTTATGTGAAAATACATGTATTTGGAGTCCAAGGATATACATGCATAATAATTATAGATAGGTTTAGGAGGGAGTGCCGTATTCAGCATGGGGAGGGGGGGGGGGAGGAGGCTCCTGGGCCTCTCTCCGGCTATGTGACTAAAAATCTCGCTACTTCAATGACAGACAACCTAATGCGAAAGAGTTTTCGTTCCAAGTTAGATTTATGTTCCACGTTTCAAAACGTTTTCAAATTACTTACCGATTCTTTCTCTATACTACCATATTCCCAAAAGACGTTAATTCCCTCTTTGGTCGTAAAGATGCACACGTCATAGACAAAACTTTCATGGTTTTTATTAGGAAGGGAAAATGTCCTTGGCAAAGGAACGGGCTCTTTTGAGATACGTTTGCCACTGCGAAGTATCTCAATTTCGACATCCATTTCCTTTTCAATCATTTGCAACTGCTCTTTTCCGGCTTGATCAAGAAACAGACTTTTAATTCCAGGATATTCCAACTTTTTCTCTCGTTCTACTATCATTGACGCGAGCTCAGTCAAACGTCGTTTACACTGTTCAATACCTTTGCTGAAGCCACACACGAGAAATTGCTCATGATCATCCATGAGATGTATCGAAACTCTATACTGCTCTAAATCCTTTGCTATCTGCATAATACTCTCATGGTTGATCCGTCTGGCAAGAAAGTTCCAAATGTATTCGGAAACCTGAGGTCTATGTGTATCGCTGTGTGTTCCGTTTTCTTTAATGAAATCAGAAATTTCTTTGATAGATCGTGAGATGTCTTCTTTTACTCCGATAATTCTAACTGAATTTTCTTGCGGTAATACATCTATTTGTACTAAAGAGCCACGCTGTAACTTGGTGATTAGAGATTGGAATTTATCAGATTGTACAGGACAGTCTTTAGTGATAGACAATGTATCCTCTCTTATTATTTCAAACATAATTTCAAATGCTCTTTCACATTTTTCTTGACTAAATCCTAGAATCACTAATGTATTCGATGGACCGACAAACACCTAAATTAAATAAAAGATTATGATTATAGTATAATGTTCTGTGTCTTGTAACTTACACTTATAGGTTTGCAAGGAAGAGCTAGCTAAATCAGAACTTTTCGTATTATTTGGGGGTGCTCGCAACCCCAATTGCAACGAATATATATATATATATATATATAATTCTTTTATAATTATATATATATATATATATATATATATATAATTCTTTTATTCTTTTATTTTATATTATATATATATATAATTAATTATATATATATATATATATATATATATATATATATATATATATATATATATATATATATATATATATATATATATATATATATATATATATAAAAGTTGACCCCTGTGTATCCGTCAAAAAGAATGTATAAAATGCGTATGTTGTGACATGTACAGTACAGAAACATTATATTATTTGGTATATTGCTAACATTTTCAGCTTAAGTTTTGTCAAATATTATTATTTAATATGACAATTACGTTATATGAGTGTGATTTGTGTTATTTGGTACAAGATTTTTACCGTTTTTCAAAATTATTGGGGGGGGGGGCCTGGGTCCCCTTCATGGGCTGTAAGAAAATCGAAAGCATGCAGTCAACGAAGACCGTCACATGCAGGCGAACATTTATTCAATAAAATTTTTGTTCTTTTTCTAGTCGTAGCGAAAAAATTGAGTATGTGCAGAATTAGAAATACTTTATGTTTATTAAAAATGGTGTCTGAAACACCCGTTCTGGAGAGAAAGGTTTGCTTATATAGATATATAGGTCCATTGGATTTCTAGCTATATGTCATGCATGTCTATCATAGCTACAGTATTTGTATCTAGAGTACGACTTACTTTAGCTTTTATATTTTCTTTACCAAGTTGTCTCGTGAAGTACTCATTCCACTGATTCTTTGCAACAATATTCCAAATTAAGGTTGACTGAGATAACGTTAACTGTTTCTCACAAATTCTGTGTAGTTGCTCTTTTATTATGACAGTCGCGTCCACTACTTGAGAAGCTGGACCTTTGAGGTCGATCTGGCCATATTTGTGACCGATGGATGCAACCAAATCAGGATAACATTTTTTTAAATCTCTTCGGAAGTCAGTATGCTGTAAGAACTCTATGTATTCATGTTTGACGTTGATGGTTTCATGCACGTTCTTTTTTGAAGTTTGAAGCAGTTCTTGAAGCACGTTTATGAACCTCTTCTTATGAGATATTCTATTTCTTTGAAACTCTTTCGATTTGTAATCCATTACTACTAATTTATTCGGGAAAATTAACCGCTAAACGTATTTCACATGTGTACATACGTCAGTGAATGAATGTAGTCATTCAGGTATAGAATTCTATAAAACGAATTGGAAAATTTGTTAATTAATTAACCCGCGGGAATGGCGTATAAATAATACACTCAGAGTTACATCAGCTAAACTTTATTATTCTTCACACGAACTTTCAAGCTTGTGAGAAGGAAAATTGTGTAATTTATGATCGTTGGCATAAAAACATTGGCATTCAAACACCGTGGAAAATCAACTTGATGTTGCTCATGCATAATTGCCCTTTCGGCGGTAACTTTCAGGACAAATCGAGTCAATTCGTTTGCTAGTTCGGATATATAAATATATCAGATGCAAAAACCAGTATATATAACTTGTAAAGCTTTTAGCTTGTTCTAATCTGATAGGGATTATTATTGCAACAACAAAATGCTTCGGGCCGTTTACCAATACGATTAACGGTCGCTTTGCCGCTTGGGACGAGCGATCTATATATGCGAGTCTTGTATGTAATTAGTTGCGCGTACATGCCAAGAAAATAGAATGCATGTACTAGTAGTTGAAAACCTGTAATTGTTTTTGTTTTTAATTTCTTTATCTGTAACTGCACTGTTAGACTAATAATTATTCGAACTGAGATATAAGCATATATAAAAAGCACCATCTAAATTGACATGGTGAGGACATAAAGCACGAATATTATCCTTTCATATACGAAGGTAGTCTACAAATGATGAGAAACGATAAAATCCAAGTTTTAACCTATGCATATATTTGAATGCAGAACATTTGTTCGAAGATTGACATTCTAACTTAATTAAACAAAACAAATTGAGAACTGCACTTAAAAGTTAAAACTGTTTATATCTTCAGCGGCGTTGTATTCGGATTTCTTTGCCATGAATACCAGTGCATATGTAGGCGATATCTTACAATTGAAAACTCCGTTTTTAAACTTTATTTACTCTAAATGCTTGTTAACCGGATTTCAATACACCGAAACATATTTTTTTTACGTATCCCACTTGCCGAACTCATTTGGCAGCAAGACTGAATAAGCCAGCACCGCGGAAAAACGTCTGCACATGCGCGTGTACCAGAAAAGATGTCGATGAATTTAAATGCCAAATTGTAAACAAAAATATAGCTATTTTAAATTTATTTAAGGTAAGTGAACAAACAAAAAAATACACTAGACAGGTAGTTTAAACATTAATAAAAAGTTTTCTAGCATTTAAAATCTAAAAAGAAACAGAATTTAAATTAAAAATCATCGTTTTAAAATTTGTCGAATACCGAACTTATAGGTACGTATAGATAGGTAAAACTGTATTTAAAAGATCACACACTGGTCCCGTCAACTTATGCTGATTTCCACGAGGGGATTATGGATTAAATGATATTATATATAACAAAATAAATACACACTAAATTAGAGGGCACTCAGAGACTGCATACCTCCGCCTACGCGCAAAATATTGAAGTAATCTATTGTTATTAGAATTTGAGTGGCTGGTGCATATATTATGCACGTCCTAATTACGCATTCAGTATAAAGTTTTATTTAATTGACCGGGAAAAGCAAGACAAACTTT